CGGGGGGCGGGGACCGGCACGAACTGTGTCTCCCGCAGATGAAGAAGTTGGCACGACGGCACCAGCAGCAGCAGGAGCAGCAGAACTCCCAGCGGCTGGGCCAAGGTGAGGCGGGGCCCGGGCCAGGGGCCCCAGCTTAGTCGCTGTGCCAAGACCCCCAAGAAACCTTCCACCGAGGCGGTCAGAGCTCAGGGAACTTCTGCCTCAGAACCGGCTGAGATCAATAACGTAGAGAGGCGGTGGCACCCACAGGACACAGGAGTTGAGATGGCAGGGTGGGCGGCCCGGAGGGGTGGCAGAATCTCCGGACCTAAAACTTCAGTCATCCACTCGCCGTCACCGTGTGCCAGGCACCGTTCTCATTGTTCGATGCTCTCCAGCTCACTGAATTCTCACTGCTCCCCGCGAGGAAGGGCCTTGTCATGTCCCGTTTCACAGATGTGGAGACTGAGGCTCAGTGTGACTAAGGGACCTGTCTTGATCACTCAGCTAGTAAAGGGCAAAGCCGGGTCTCAGTCCCGTGTGTGTGGGGGGGGCTCCCAAGCTGTGTTTTCACCATGGCCGTACACCCCGCTGCCCGCAACAGAATCCAGCAGAAGTCTCCACAGAAAGTGCCAGAGGAAGTTTGCAGGGTGTCGAGGAGTCAGGGTGGGCTCCCTGGGTGCTGAGGGGCCAGTTTAAGGGGCAGGGGCCAGGCCCCTCCCAACACTGGGCTTTGCCAAAATCTCGTTTCCACATCTTGGGCCAAGGCTGGTCTCCCAGGCCTTATGGGGACATTGAGCCTTCAAAGCTTGAAAGGAGGGCAAGTGGAACTCTCTGGGACTGCTGAAGTGAGGTGGGGACCCCAGAGCTACCTGCTCCCAGGTGAGACAAGGGCAGATGCCAGGGACCTTCTACTCAGGTCTCTGGGGGCCAGGCCAGTGGCCCAGGCCAAACCCAGCACTTCGAGGCCATGGCCTTGGAGCCTGGTTTTTCCTCTCTTCTCCTTCTGCCCCTTCCCTAGACACCCAGCTTCCTGAGACTGCAGCCACTGCCTTGGGTCTCCCAGCCAGCTCCCGAGCTGTGTCCCCATGTTCCCAGCTGCCTCCTAGACTGAGCCTCCTCAAGAATGTTCCACAGTACCCTTGAGTTCTTCATGGCCATACTGCCTTCCACATCGCTGCTCACAGCACCCCCTGCTTTTCCCCCACCCCGTCTCAGCAAATGGTACCACGGCCCGCCCAGTTCCACGCCAGAATCCCAGGAGTCACCTCAGACCCTTCCTGTCCCCCCACCGCCACACACACACTTCATTTGCCCAGTGGCCAAGTCCGGCGGTGGGTTCCTGTCCGTGTCCCTCAGGCCCTTCCTAGTCATTGCGTTCTTTCCCACATCCCCCTTTTTGGGGACCCCAGCCCCTCACATAACTTCCTCCTTCCACTGACCTCTGCCTTCTTCTCTACCTTCCGAGCCTTTCTCCACAGCCCCTCCTGGCCGAGACCCTCCCTTGGTTCCCTCCAGCCTCAGGGGGACCCCCACGCGGCTCGGCCCCCACGCACCATCTCGCACCTCGCGTTCCACCACACCCGGCCTTTTCTCATCCTCGCGCCCCACGGAAGGGCCTCTCCGCGCCCGCGGGAACGTTTCTCTCCCTGCCCCTGCTGCCCTTCAGCCTGGCAAGCCACCCCCTGCTCCGGCCTGTTGAACCCTGCTGGTTCTTTAAGTCACATGGGGGGTGGGGGCCCCGTCCTCCGGGAAGCCTTTTCTGGGTCTCTTTGGCCTGGATTCGGGCCCTAGCCCGATGCTCCCTGAGGTGGGGCGCTCACTGCATCCACACGTTGAGTCATTATTGCTGCTTAGGTGTCTGTCTCGCAGAGGGCCTGAGATCCTGGAGGGCAGGGTCTCTGGAGGATGGGGGTTGGGGAGGGGAGGGCTCTGACTTTCCATACGCTGATTCTGGAAGAGGACCTGGAGTGTGTGTCCCAGGAAGGGGTGGAGGGGTGGGGTCAGATTACTGGGCTCCGTAGTCCCGCAGGCCCAGGAAAGCCATAGCAACCTCAGCCACGGCAGGGGTGGGGAAAGGGGCAGGACGCTTGGGCAAGGGTCCTGGGGTAGGACCGACCCTGGGGAAGTCCGGAGAAGGTCAGAGGAACTGCCCTGGGCGCCTGGACTGGACTGGGGGGCTGCTCGGTGGGAGGTCGGTGGGGGCTCCTGGGGCTCCTGGGACTGGGGGGCGGGACGGCCAGCGAAGGCGTGCTTTGCCCCCAGAGGTCCTGTCGAGCCGCATGGAGGGCATGATGGCCTCCTACACGCCGCTGGCCCCACCGCAGCAGCAGATCGTGGCCATGGAGCAGAGCCCCTACGGCAGCAGCGACCCCTTCCAGCAGGGCCTCACGCCACCCCAAATGCCAGGTGACCACATGAACCCCTATGGTAA